ATCTAATTCACTTTTAAATTTACTAATGTTTTCCATTTGTACTTCTTGTTTCCTTTCTTGTTCATTTTTTCGTTCTTCTTGTTTCTTTTGCTGCTCTTGTATTGTGGCCATCAAGTCTGCTAAGTTGTAGTTTAATTTTCCGCCTCTCGTTTCCATTTTTTTTTTCGTTCCACTTCTGACAACAATTTGTTACGTCTCCGTTTGTTAATTAACTTTCCGTAACTTCGTTCCGACGAAACTTTAGCGGCACAAGTTCTTTACTTAATAAAACTGGTTTATTCTTTCCGAATACAACTTTACGATACACTTATTTTCAACAATCGTGCTAAAACAAACGCTATATCAACGAACGTCAATAATACTTCTGACTGCAGATCAATTACTCACTATCTTCACACACACATTACATTATCCTGTCACGTTGTCACCCTCTTTTATATACCCGACTACCCTATATCTAGTAAATACTAGAGCATTCGCCAAGGTACAGGATAGTTCTAGAAACGTGGCATCACAGTAGTCATGTGACTCGCTGACGCAACAATATATATACACACAGACACACAAGTAAAAAACTAAAATAAAATACAATTAAATCTAAGTATAGTAATAATGATGTACAGTGACGTGGAATAGCAGTGAATATGGGGTGACTTATTTCGCCTTTCCAAATCTAAATAAGTGAGTATCACCCTATAGCGCACATGCTGTTGTCGACAATGCATCTCAGGCTATTGTCACTGCTTTAGATTTTATATCTTTCTTTGCTGAAGTGACCAGAGGCAGTGCCCAAGCCTCCAAGCATTCTGAGAATATGCTAACTTGTTCTGTGAAGATGTCTATTCTTGGAATGAGTGGTCTCCAGATAGCATAATGTCTGAGCTTGAGTTTGGATAATTTGGCCTTAAACTCCATTAAACACTTGATTGAGTTGCAAATTGGGAATGAGAGAAGTCATTTCAAGCTCGAACCTAGCCAATGATTATCCACCCACCCACATATCTTGGTGCTGTGATGCAACATACTGGTACTCAGTAAATGGTTTTTATTTCACAGCTTATGTCAATAATGCCTCCACCTGGACATTAATTTGGAAGAGATGAGCAAAGAATTTGCTTTGATTTTGGAGAAATGAGTCACTTTTGAATGAACTGCTCATACTTTGCTGAAAAGTGAGGTAGACAAGGCTATCAGCTTCAAATAATGGATCAGAAGGTGCAGGAGAGTCAACAACACCGCCACTACATCTTCTAGAAATTAATGGAGCCCAAATAAGGTCTAGCTACTGATATCTGGGAATACAAGTGGCTTGTTGGTAGGAATGGAATCTCCATGGATTCTATTAAGATAGCAGTTGTGAGAGACTGTCCTCAACCCGTGAGAAAGTGAGAAGTTTGAAGTTTCCTCACTTTTCTTTCTTACTACCAATGGTATTTGGCAAATACTTCAATATTACTACACCATTGCTAGATGTCACTTACAGGTTAGAACTATTTCAGATGAAGTTAGGAATGTGAGCAAGCATCCCAGTCCCTGAAGTATGTTTTATTAAAAGCAAAAGTGCTGGCATATCCATGAAAAGACTGCGAATTTTTGTTAAATACTGATGCCATTTATAATGTAATTGTAGCAATGTTATCACAGTTGTAGAATGGAGCATAGTGTGTTATCGTGTTTGCTAGTTGCACAGTCATGGCTCTGGAATGCAGATAGTGTATAAAGAAGAAAGAACTGCTTGTAATTTTAGTCTCCATAAAACACTATCAAAACATCCTTGTTTATAGAAAGCTCATTATTTGAGTGTACTATACATCCCTGAAAGGGTTGACTGGAATGAAAGATTACACAATAGAAAGCAGTAGTACAGGAATGTGATATAGTCATACAACATCATTAGGGTCTGCAACACAGAAAGTTTGATGAATTGTCTCTAATACGTTAATGCCTGTATGTTTGAAGAATACTTGGATACCATATGACATCAAGTCATACAATAGAAGATAACGCTCATGAATGGATGCTATGATTAACACAAGGGATTTCTGAGAACAGTTGAAGGACCTAGACCAAGGTAAAGTCTGACTGGCTCAAATTAA